TGCCTGAACCCAGGAGGCGGAGGTTGCGGTGAGCCGAGATCGCGCCATTGTACTCCAACCTGGGTAACAAGAGCGAAACTCCGTCTCAAAAAAAAAAAAAAAAAAGAATTAGTAGTTAGAACGGAGAGACAGCTCATGTTCATGGATTGGAAGGCTTAATATTGTTAAAATGGTAAAACTCAAAAAATTAAGAAGCTTGCTGAACTGGAAGTTGCTCTGAGTAAGTCAGTGAATGTGTGATGAGTGAAAGTGATCATTAGACACTACCGTGGCAGGGCAGTGAGGGGAGGGGAGCCGTAGTAACAATGTCAGAGTCCTGTACTCAAGACCATGTATGACCTGTAGGAATTACTGATGAGTTTAAATTTGATTCCAAATGTGATTAGAAACCTTTGGAGGGGCTTACCAGTAGACACTCTTAAATAACAACAAAAGAAATAATGTACCAATGTAAAATTAGTTTGTTAATCTTGCTTCCATCTCCTCAAGAAAGTTGAAACCCTCAAGTTTGTGCCCCCCAAAAAAACCTACTGACATTCTCTCTGGAACACAAGTCATGGAGCCACTGTTGCTAGGGGAAATTCCACATAATTTGACTATTATATGCCTATTTATCCTTATCTCAGTAAACCTACCCATTATTAGTTTCCTGAATCCCAGGGGCAGATGGTCATTGTCACTTCCAACTCTTTCATCCTCATCTCATTGCACTGTAAGGATAATAATGGATCAAGCACAGAAAGAGAGATATTTCAAATCCCCTTTAAAATTTTGTTTTTCAGTTGGATACAGGAATGCAAGTTCATATAGACAGGCATCTTAGAAAGTACACTATAAAGAAGATAGATTCCCCTTCCTGCTAAATGCCAATTTGCAATTTTGCAAAGTAATTTTTAAGCACAACTGCAGCTTAAAAGCACACTATTCCCTGGTACACACATCACTGTACTTCTTTTAGCAAAGAGTCTGTTTCCTTTTCCATTTATGCCCTGAGACACTGGAGAATTTCCCCCTAGAAAAAGCCTCTAGTTGATCCTGAATCTCTGCTCATTGTAGAGCTCTTGCCTTTTAATCATTTCTGTCCTGGCACAGGACTGTGTGCAGAATAAATTGTGCCCACCCAAAACATTCACCTACAAATTACAGAAATTGAAGGTGTGGTTTTTACAATATGAGTCCCCGAAACAGACTGGAAACTTTTAATAACATCCCAAGAGGGAATGTAGAAAAAGAATACATAGGCATTGTGCCCAAGTTTGCACCAATATAAAATTAACTTTGCTTTTTTTTTTTTGAGACGGAGTTTCACTCTTGTTACCCAGGCTGGAGTGCAATGGCGCAATCTCGGCTCACCGCAACCTCCGCCTCCTGGGTTCAGGCAATTCTC